ATGCACACCCATGTTTATCGTGGCTTTGTTCACAATAGCAAAGAGCTGGAAACAACCCAAGTGCCCATCAACAAACGAATGGTTAGAGAAGCTCTGGCATATTCACACAATAGAATACTATGCAGCATTGAAAAACAAGAAACTCACGAAATACTATGCAAAATGGATGACCCTGGAGGACATTATGCTGAGTGAAATATCTCAGTTGCAAAAGGACAAATATTGCATAAGTCCACTGTTGTAAAATGGGACTGACATCAGGGTTGAGGGAAGACAGAAAAGGAGGGGAGGAATGATGTGTATTGCATTGAAACAGATGAGGGTGAGAACTGTTTAAAAGCGATAGATATGTGAATGGGTATTCTTGTTATTCCAGAAGTCCAGAGTGAAGGCTGCATAGTGGAGTGAACTTGGGGGGAGGGACTGCATAACAATGAAAGAGTTTTTCTTTTTCTTTTCAAGGAGAAGAGTGAATTGGGAGGGAGAGGGTGTGCAGGGAGAAAAGTGCAACAATAAATGACTGGAAACCCTGAGACACTAAACTTCCATTAATATTTAATTTAAAAAAAAAAAAGAAGGATGGTATCATGAACTTTGAGCATGCTACCAGGAGGGATCAGTTGTTGAAAAGGACACCATGCTTAGAAAAGTAGAGGGTCAGTTTAAAAGAAGATCAACAATGAGATGGAGTGACACTGTGACTTAACAATGGTCTTAAGCATGATGGAGATTGTGAGGATGGAGCTGGATCATACAGGGTTTCATCCTTTTGAGGTTCATCCTTGGGGATACTATGATTCAGAGCCAACTGGATGGCACCTAACAACAATAACATGGTAGCTCTGTAAGAGAGGAAGTCTGTTGAAAAGGGTTGTCTCTTGAAACCTAAAAGCTGGTGCGATAGATACATAATTTAATTTATGAATTTCACACTGTTGTTTTCCCTGAATAGTAGGGGTTGGGGGTGTACTTACATGGTCTATTTTGAATCATTGGCCTCCTGCTCTTCTATATTAGATGTCAGAAAGTTTAGGAGGCAGGGAATTGCTCCATGATGACAGGCCAAATTTCAGAACACTTCCCAATTCTATATGCCAGGCCACAGACAAGAGCCCTGCCCACAGCCCCATTGTAGACAAAACCTGGTCTTGTTATTCATGGCTCATGCTGTTGTCCACTTGCCCTCAGTTAATTTGACCAGAGTTAGCAAAGCCATTTGGCCCCTGGGCTTAGCTTAACATGACAGAGCCTAGTCTAGGAAAATGAAGGAACCAAGCAAATTCACATATTTGGTTTTATTAGATAATTTTAATAAGATATATTTATTTATTAAATATAAATCTAGAGTGTTCTGTTGTGACAAATTGTATATGGAAAAGCACTTTAGGAAGTTTAGAATGTTGTACAAATGGAAGAAACTTATCATAGCACAAATCACAGTTATAAAACTAACTGCATCTAACTTATGGTAGATAATAACTAGACACAAAACTTTTTTTTTAGAATTTTTTTTAATTTTTTATTTTTATTTTACTATTTGTGTGTACCATCAAATCAAATCTGACTGGTACAGGAGGAGATTGTCCCTCCTTCCCCGGCAGAGCACCTGGTGGATTCGAACCATGCACCTCTAGGATTGTAATGCAGCTTCCTGCCACTAGGCCACCAGAGCTCCCCAAGACTCAAAACTTTTGACTGCTTGTAATAAGTTGTTGTTGTTGTTATGTGCCATCGAGTCGCTTGCGACTCATAGCGACCCTATGTACAACAGCCCTAAACTCCGCTCTGTCCTGTGCCAATCGCACTGTCTCTGACACTTCCATCCCAATTATCCCAGTCACTGAATCAATCCACCTCATAGAGGGCCTTCCTCTCCTGTGCCGTCCCTCCACCCTCCCAAGCATGATGTCCTTCTCTAAGGACCGGTCTCTCCTCCCAACATGTCCAAAGTATGTTAGACGGAACCTCAGAATCCTTGCCTCCAAGGAGCCACCCGGTTTAACCCTTTCTAGGACAAATCTGTTTGTTTTCCTAGCAGTCCATGGTATTCTCAATACTCTTCTCCAGCACCACAGCTCAAAGGCATCAATTCTCCTTCTATCCTCCTTGGTCATTGTCCAACTCTCTGATGCATAACAAGTGATTGCGAAGACCATGGCCTGTATCAGACGCACCGTAGTCTCCAGAGAGACACCATTGCTCTTCAGTACTTTGGAGAGGTCCCTAACAGCAGACTTTCCCATGGCAATGTGCTTTTTAATTTCCTGGCTGCTGGTGCCAAGACTGTTACAGGTTAGCCATTGTAAATTCTGAAATACTAAAGTAACATAAAAGAAAAGATCAACAGGAGCATGGCTGGAGAGCAAGATCACCTGATGTGATGAGGGAAGATTAGATTAAGGAATTTAGTTAGAAGCCTATTGCAATGAGGTATAGGGCTAGATCTCCATAGACTCAATGGTTTGTTGTGCCTATGAAGCATGGATGGTGAAACTTCTCATATACCTTGGGCATGCTGTTAGGAGGGGCTAGATTTGGGGAAAAGACATCATTCTGAGAAAGGCAAAGGGTCAGCAAAAGAAAGACAACAAGATGGATTGATAGAGAGACGGCACCAATGGGCTTGAGTGTGGCAGAGATCAATGGTGAAAGATAGGACAAGGTTCCTATTTGTTGTAGTTGACTGAAGGCACCTAACAATAACAAGGAATTGATTCTGGTTAATTGTAACCTCAAGTGTGCAGAGTACAATTGCTCTACAGGATTTTCAAAGCTATGACCTTTCAGAAACAGATCTCCCACCATCCAAGATACCTCTGTTTAGGTTCCAACAGCCAATCTCTAAGACAGTCCAATCCTTAACAGCTTGTTAACACCCTTGGTACCCTTGACTCAATTTTAGCAGTCAACTTTTAATTAATACGTTGTTACTAAAAAAATAATAAAAAATATGTTGTTACTAAGTATCGTCAAGTCCTAGACGACTTGTAGCAACCATATGAATGAAAGACCTGAACATGTATAACTTTAATCGTACATATCTCCAGGTTCATAGGAGGCAAGGTATTTCAGAAGTGGATGCCACTCCTGCTTCCAAGCTTGTTTTAATCGGGGAGCTCCACCAAACACTATCCTCCATAGGTAACCATTATCACATCTGACACATCAGTGTCACAGTGTTCAGCATCACAGCAACCATGAGATACCTCTGTACAGCAAATGGGCAGACCAGTGCAATGCCACTTAGAATGTTTGACCAAAAATAATTAATGTATAGATTTGGAAAAACACAGAAAAAGGAAAACAAATCAACCTTTACCTCAAGACAATCATCAATGCATAACTGCTGATGTTAAGTGCTGTGTAACCAACAAGGACTTATGGCGACCCTCTGAACAACAGATCTGAACCTTGTTCCATCCAGAATCTTCCTCTCTTTTCCTGACCTCCTGTCTACCTTTCCCAGCATGATGTCTTTTCCCCCTAATGACAACCTGCCCACAGTATGTGATGAAGTTTCACCATCTTTACCTCCAAAAAACATTTTTATTGCAGTTCTTCCAGGACAGTTATATTTGTTCTTTTTTGCTGTTCAGCAGATAATCAATACTTTTCGCCAACACCACAATCTAAAGCCATAAATTCTTCTTTGGTTTTCCTTATTAATTTTCCAACTTTCAGATGCATGGGAAGCAACTGAAAATACTATGGCTTAGATTGTTTTTCTAACAATGTATTTTGCTTGTATCCAACAAAACAGGAACCACTTAGGACAAACACGTTTTGAAAAGGGAAACCATTACCACAGCAAGATAAAGGTAAATAATCCAATAGAAAAATGGGCACAGGATATGAACAGACACTTCACCAAAGATTCAGATGGCCAAGAAGCACATGAAGAAATGTTCAAAATCCCTAGCTCTAAGAGAGATGCAAATCAAAACAACTATGAGATATCATCTCATCCCAGTCAGAATAGCAAAATTTAACAGAACAGCAAGCAACAAATGCTGGTGAGGTTGTGGAGAAACTGGAACCCTTATTCACTGTTGGTGGAAATGTAAAATGGTGCAACCACTGTGGAAGGCGGTATGGCGCTTTCTCAAAAAGTTGCAAATAGAGATACCATTTGACCCAGCAATTCCACTGCTGTGGAATTGGTCTCAAAGAGACCATAACTGACATCCTAGCAGATACATGCACACACGTGTTTATTGTGGCTTTGTTAACAATACCAAGGAGTTGGAAACAACGTAAGTGCCCATCAACAAACGAATGGATAGAGAAGCTGTGGTGTAGTCACGCAATAAAATACTATGCTGCATTGAAAAACAAGGAACTCATGCAATATTATTCAAAAATGGGTGACCCTGGAGGACATTATGCTGAGTGAAGTATCTCAGTCACAAAAGGAAAAATACTGCATGGTGCCACTGTTGTAAAACAGGACTGACCTCAGGCTTGGAAGGAGACTGAGAAAGATGGGTTCAATAATGTATACTGCATTGAAACAGATGAGAGAGAAAACTGTTTAAAAGGGATATGTGATTAGGTATTTTTGTCATGACAGGAGCCCAGAGCGAAGGCTACATAGTGGAGTGGACCTGGGGGGAGGGATTTTAAAACAATGAAAGAATTTTTCTTTTACTTTTCCAAGAGGGTAGTGTACTAGGGGGAAGGGTTGGGAGGGGAGAAAAGTGCAACAATGAATGAGTGAATGAAAATCCAAAGTATCTCTAAATTTTCACTGAAATTAATGATAATTTTTTTTTTAAAAAAGAAAATATTGATGGGGCTTGGTAACCAAATAAAAGTAATGTAACATTATTGGGAGCAGTGTTAGCCAGGCAACCAACTTCAACGGAGCCACCAGTAGTCTCAATTAACTGTAAACAAACAAACAAAACCACAAAATCTCGTCTCTATGATCATTGCTGAACTCTATGGTAGCGGACGCCTCTGTGACCCCGGAAGTGATCCAGGGAGGGCGTGCGGCAAAAATGGCGGCGAGAGCAGTAACCTGGTCCGTGTGTCGGCGTCTTTGGCAGGTACTGGGCGCGTCGGGGGACGCTGGGCCAGCAGACGGGGACAGCTGCCACGTAGGTCTCTGCCACGCGCAGTTCTGACCATCAGGCGCCTTCCCAAGTTTTTATTTTGCACTTCACAGCTCGCTGTTTATAAGGAATATGGCGAGATGCTCGTTGTACCTTGCATCCTTTGATGACATTGGTCAAGGCAAACACAGGAAGTAGAATATTAAAATCTGAGCGCTCGAAAATACATGAAATATAATTTTCCAGCATCCCATCCTTTTGCATATGCAATTTTAAAACAGACAGAAAGCCAAACAGGCTTAGAGAGCTTCGCAGGGAAGCTTGCCTTCCCAAAACGAAGGACTGAGCCGACAGTCTATTTCAGACCCTTAGAATGAAACAAAACTGAAATAATGCCCCTTAACAGCGGAGAGGTATGACATTTGGACAGGAGCCGGTGAAGTCCGACGAGTGGTGTTGCTTGCTTCCTGTTCTGGTAGCTTGGAGGAGAAGCAAACTCCAAAGAGATTTGCAGGTTTGGGTTTGTAGCATTTTATTAGAACGTAAAATAGATATCTTTTTTTATTTCAAAACTGGTATGTTTTTAAAATACTTGTGCATTTAAAAAGTACGAATAAATCCTTTGCATGTCAACATAATTAGCATTTCTCGTGGGAAAGAACTTTCATTTCCTAAATAAAAACATACTCAGTGAGAAGAATAACAGATTTCTAACAGAAGACAGATGCTAATTTGTGCATCTGCGTTTAATCTGTGGCTATATCGGAGTCATGCAGCTTCTGGAAAATGCTTCTGTGCGCTTAATAGAGTGCAAACCTCCAATTTACGGTTTAGTGTTGTTTTGAAAATAGTTGTGATATACCTTATCTCTTGAAAGTGCCCGTGAATCCCCAGTTTCTATTTGTTGTGTACTGTCCAGTCGGAACCAACCCAAAGCTGACCCAGCAGCGAGTTTTCAGTCATTAAGTCACATGGGAGGAGAATGCCCATCCTCTGGCAAGTGGATTCGAACCTCCTGTGCAACTTAACCACCTGAGCTCCCTCCTGTGGTCCTTAGACCACACTTTAGAACAACTGTTGTTAAGAAAAGGCAGATGGAGGTCAATGGTTTGAACAGAAAGAAACCCACCAAGACAGGCTTCCTGTTAGACACACACACCCTCTTAATACCCCTTAGAGAAAAAACAGAGAAAGGGAGAAGAACTTAACTTTAACATAATGTCACTGAAATCTACACGTAAAGAATGTTGAAATGTCAGTTTTTCCGTTATATACATATTGCTCTTGTTAGGTGCCAAGAGTCACGTTGCCTCCTCATCAAGGGAGAAACTCGGGCAATCTCTTCCTGTGATTTACAACCACAAAAACCCACTGGAGCATCAGCTGAGTCAGTTCTGATCCAGCGGCAATGAATTTGAATGTCATATATATTTACCACACGTTTAAAAACAAAACTAAAAAATGTCTTTAAAGTTGATTTATGACTATAAGAGCCCCTTTTGTTAGAATTTTCAGAAGCATAGGTTTAGACTGGGAGAGCTTGGTTGGGAGGATGTCCTTTGTACACCTCATCGGTGACAGCATAAACTCCTTCTGGGAAGGAGTTTCTTTGTAATTATGTGAAGAATGACATCTGCCTCTGACTACCTTATATTGTGTCTGATTTTTCTTTGGTTTTCCCCTTGATCCAAAGGACAGTATGGAACGCTTTAATTTGTTTCTGTCTTGGAGAGAGGAAAGATGATAAACTAAAAATGGCTAAGAACAGAGAACATTTTTTTACCTCCCTCCTTTAAAAAAAGTATTTATGCAGCTGTTGGTTGTTTTCATTAAGCTTCACTTAGGCTAAAATGTTCTTCTCATCACCAGAGTGTTTTAAATATTCTAGGAGCATAGTGGGTCGGGCATTGGGCTGAGCTAATTGAAAGATCATCTGTTTAGACCAAGCAGCCACTCCTGTTGGTGCCAATGGGGGGCTGCCAGTGCTAGGAATCTACTCAAGGCAGTGAGTTTTGGGTTTGCTAAACTGTTACTCACAGAAGTATTTTCACAGATGTGGTTTTCCTTCTGAAGGATTGCTAGTGGCTAAGTGGTTAAGCACTCAGCCCACCACTGGCACCACAGAGGTAAAGGTCCACAGTCCACTCCTCCCCTCAACACTTTCTCTGTAGGAAACCCTGGTGGACAGTTCTACTTTATCATATCAGGGTCGCTTTGCAACAAATGCTGGCGAGGTTGTGGAGAAACTGGAACCCTGATTCACTGTTGGTGGGAGTGTAAAATGGTACAACCCCTGTGGAAGGCAGTATGGCGCTTTCTCAAAAAAGTTGCAAATAGAGATACCATTTGACCCAGCAATTCCACTACTGGGAGTATACCCTGAAGAGACCATAACTGACATCCAAGCAGATATATGCACACCCATGTTTATTGCAGCTTTGTTCACAATAGCAAGGAGCTGGAAACAACCTAAGTGCCCATCAACAAACGAATGGCTAGAGAAGCTGTGGTGTATTCGCACAATGGAATACTATGCTGCATTGAAAAGCAAGGAACTCATCCAATATTATTCAAAATGGTTGACTCTGGAGAACATTATGCTGAGTGAAATATCCCAGTCACAAAAGGACAAATATTGCATGATGCCACTGTTGTAGAATGGGACTAACCTCGGGGTTGGGAAGAGACTGAGTAAGATTGGTTCAATAATGTATACTGCACTGAAACAGAGGAGGGAGAAAACTGTTTAAAAGAGATATGTGACTAGGTATTTCTGTCATCACAGGAGTCTAGAGCGATGGCTACATGGTGGAGGGGACCTGGGGGAGGGTTTGTAAAACTGTGAAAGAATCTTTTCTTTTACTTTTCCATAATTTTTGACTCATGTACTTATAACTTGTTAGTTAAATTTGTGTCTTCTAGGTTGCAACACCCCCGTGATACATCTTCAAGGATATGAACATGTATGGCTAAGCACAATTAATAACAGTGCATCTAAATTCCAAAATCAATCTCCATAATAGTCTATGTGTTTCCTACTGCCAAAGGGGCCCTTTAGAGTAGTGAGAGAAGATCTTCACCCTGAAACCCACAGCGTCCCTTTTCAGCAGGAAGTAGCTAAGAGAATACGCCATCCCCTTTTCCTTATGAATCAGGGTGAAGTCTCCCTCAGGGAGGAGTGGTAGGGAATGGCAAAGGACACACTGACAAAGGAGATTAAACAGAACTGGCTTTGACAAGCACTGTGGCAATTGGACAATTAAAACAGACATTCGGATGGCGGGGGAAGAACAACAAACTGGGGAAGAGGTTAGAGAGAATGGTACAGCAATGAAGGAATGAAAACCCAAAATCCCTGTAAATGTTCATTAATACTAATAAAATTTCAAAAAAAAAGAAACTGAAAAAAAAATCTATCTGCTGACACAACATTGTGCTGCCAATTTATCAGGTTACACTTTTTAATCTGAGGAACACTGAAAGGAAAAGCAGGTAGAGGATAAACTACAAATAAAGCTAAAAGAGACTTGTTACTGTGCAGTTGTTGTTAATGTCCTGTTGAGTCAAAACCGACCCATAGCTTATCCTCCAGCAGGTTTTCAGAGGTAGTAAATCACACAGGAGCATATTCTCCATATTTCTCCTGTGGATCAGCTATTGGATTCCAACTGTTTGCCTCTTGGAATGCATCACAGCATCTTACCGTTAGATAACCAAACCTCTCTTGCATGGATCCACAATCAATACCTTTGAGACCAGCAGTGAGGAAAATCAAAAGGCGAGTTGTATGGGGAAAACCTGCAGTCACGGACCCCTCCAGAGTCCTAAAAAGCAATGATAACAGTCTAGAGACTAAGGTGTGCCTGATCCAGGCCATGGTCTTCTCAATTGTTTGCTGTGTATATGAGAATTAGACACTGAATAAGGGTGACGGAAGAATTGATATCTTTGAGTTGTGGTGCTGGAGAAAAATATTGAAGAAACCATAGAATGTTATTTCTGCCAGAACAAACAAGTCTATCCTGGAGAAGGTGAAAGCAGGTTTTTCCTTGGAGCAAAGAGTTTGAAACTCTGTCTCATATACTTTGGGCATGTTGCCAGGAGATACCAGTCCTTGGAGAAGGACATCATGGTTGGAAGGGTGGAGGGACAGCTTAGGTGAGGAAGAGACCCTGGATAAAATGGATTGACATGGTAACTAGCAGCAGAGTCAAGTGTGTTAGAGACAGTGAGGTTGGCTCAGGGTAGGGCAGGGTTCAGAATCACTGTTCATAGGGTTGCTGTGAGTCGTAGTCAACTTGACAGCACTTAACAACAGGAGTCAGGATGGACTCGTAGCTGATGGTCCACTAGGTTTCCAGGACTGTAACTCATGCTGGAGGGGGTCGCCCATCTTTCTCCAGTAGATGGTGTATTCAGACCATCAGAGAGAGACCACATGTAGGTCAGCAGCACAACCCCACCCACTAGGCCACCAAGACTCCCTGAAACTACAAATGCCACTATTGTTGCATTGACTCAGCACCTGAGATTGTCCACCTTTCTCTTGCTGAGCAGCTGTGGCAATGCCCTTCTTTGGGCTGGTAAAGCGCCTTCCTCACTAGACCACCAGAGCTCCCCAAAAACTTGATGGAAGCAGTCCCATAAATTTGTAAAGCTGGATATTGTCCGCCACCAGGGGGCAGAACAAATAAAGGATTTTGAAACACTTGTTGCAGTTGGTGAAACAGTAGATAGTAATAGATGTTAAAGTTGTAATGTGTATTTTAATTTAGAAATTATTTATTCCAGTCAAGCCAGGGCATACATATGCTGGAAAATCTTTGTGAAAGCATCAAAAGAAGGATACTTTAGAATTCTTAGTCCGACTCTTAACATTGCATTATATAGACAATAGTGTCTATTGAGCAAGTATATTTAGACAAAATATGTAAGTATATTAAGATGTAAAAATTATGGGGAAAATGAAATCTCATGTGATGTGATGTTATTTGATATAATTTGTTTACTTTTGATTCATAGCTATTTTAATGTGAAAATTACTTTTTTCAAAAATTTCTTGTTCCTGAGCTTTTTATTCTTCTTAGTTTTAAAAAAATGCAGATTTTTAAAAAAAAGATTTTGAGATAGGGGATCTCTGGCAAGGAGCTGCAACTACAATCCCAGAGGTGCACGGTTCAAATCCACCAGATGCTCTGCCAGGGAAGGAGGGACAGTCTCCTCCTGTACCAGTCAGATCTGATTTGACGGTACACACACACAAAAATTAAAAAAAAAAAAAGATTTTGAGATTCCTGCAACAATGAATGGTTTTTAAAAAAGAAAGTAAACTCTGGGAGGAGCGAGGGAGGGAGAAGGAGAAAGCATGCAGCAATGAACGAATGAAAATCCAATCTTTCTGTAAATGTTCATTAAAATCACAATTAAAAAATTTATTAAAGATTTTGAGATTGCTTTTTTAATATCAACTTTTATCTTTTCCATCGTTTTCTTAAAATTAACTTGGCCATTTTCCTAGGACCATTACCTTCATGCTCAGATAGCATTTGACTTGAAATGTCTTATAGTCTTTACCCCTTCCCACTGATATTGTTGAACACAAAAAATCACAAACTCATATGTTGGGAACAAGATTCCAAAAAAAATTAAGACCAATAACCAAAGTTAAATGTCTTATAGCCTTCGATTTGTAGTGGAAATGGAATGGTTTGAAAATTGACTTTAATGCTAATACATGTCTTTCCTTCTTTTCTAGGACTCAGGAAATTTTTTTTTAAACAGTTCTAAAAACAGTGCAGTGGAAAATGGTGGTTTTCTTGTGTAAGTATATCGTTAGATAGGCTAAATTGAACAATCTCTTGGGCTCTTGTGCTGTCTTGTGCTCTTAGACATCTTTTTTCCTCCCTTCATATAGCAGTACCAATATAAAGTGGGTGCAGTTTTTAAACCTACACATTGATATTCCCAAGGAGTTGACCAAGCCTAAGGTAAGTACTATTTCTTGGTTGTTTCTATTAGCAGTAAATTTTTCATTATTTTATTAGAAGTTATTTCCCTGGGGGGGAAGGGATGGGGGAATTGTATACTAATGAAGGAATATTTTTTTTTCCTTTTTCTTTTCGGAGAGGGGAGTGAACTGGTGGGGAGGGGTGGGCAGGGAGAAAAGTGGCAGTGAATGAATGGAAATCCAAAACCTCTGTAAATGTCTATTAAAATTAATTTTTAAAAAAAAGTTATTTCCTAAATTTGAGAATTAAAAAAAAAAAGGTTTTCTGCATTACTAGCATGTGCACTGTGTGCCTAGATGAAGTATTCTCCTATGTCCCTAGATGTGTGTGCTGTGGTTCAGGGCTTCAAGGTAAATTCTGAAGGACTAAATTAATGACCCAGAATGAATAACCTCTTGCTCATAGCTTAGTGCACTGTGAAGCATTTTTGTCATAAGTAGTGATGCAAAGATTATATGTTATGGAACAGTATTTACCTAGTAACCTTCAAGTCTTTGTTTTAATGTTAATGTTTTGTTTTGTTTTATAATTGATATTTTAACAAAAGTTAACAGAAAACTTGGATTTCTTTTTTTCTCTCTCTCTTTTTTTTTCTATATTTTATTAATTTTCATAAACATTTACAGAGATTTTGGGTTTCCATTCATTCATTGTTGCACTATTCTCTCTACCCTCCTCCCAGTTTGTTCTTGTCCAAGTGCCACAGTGCTTGTCAAAGCCAGTTCTGATTAATCTTCTTTGTCAGTGTGTCCTTTGCCATTCCCTATCACTCCTCCCTGAGAGAGACTTCATCCTGAGTCATAAGGAAAAGGGGATGGCGTATTCTCTTAGCTACTTCCTGCTGAAAAGGGACGCTGTGGGTTTCAGGGTGAAGATCTTCTCTCACTACTCTAAAGGGCCCCTTTGGCAGTAGGAAACACATAGACTATTATGGAGATTGATTTTGGAATTTAGATGCACTCTTATTGATTGTGCTTGGCCGTACATGTTCATATCCTTGAAGATGTATCATGGGGGTGTTGCAACCTAGAAGACACAAATTTGACTAACAAGTTATAAGTACATGAGTCCAAAAATTATGGAAAAGTAAAAGAAAAGATTCTTTCATTGTTTTACAAACCCTCCCCCAGGTCCCCTCCACCATGTAGCCCTCGCTCTAGTCTCCTGTGATGACAGAAATACCTAGTTATATATCTCTTTTAAACAGTTTTCTCCCTCCTCTGTTTCAGTGCAGTATACATTATTGAACCCATCTTACTCAGTCTCTCCCCAACCCCAAGGACAGTCCCATTCTACAACAGTGGCATCATGTAATATTTGTCCTTTTGTGACTGGGATATTTCACTCAGCATAATGTTCTCCAGAGTCAACCATTTTGAATAATATTGCATGAGTTCCTTGTTTTTCAATGCAGCATAGTATTCCATTGTGCGAATACACCACAGCTTCTCTAGCCATTCGTTTGTTGATGGGCACTTAGGTTGTTTCCAACTCCTTGCTATTGTGAACAAAGCTGCAATAAACATGGGTGTGCATATATCTGCTTGGATGTCAGCTATGGTCTCTTCAGGGTATATTCCCAGTAAAACTTGGATTTCTAATGTTAATTTTAAGATAGAGGCCTGGGCTTGGACCTAAAGCATTGCTCAATGCTTTATTTCCCTATTGAAAGCAAGCAGTAGCTCAAAGAAGCAGCTATGTAGCCTTGATTCCTGTGATTCCATTAATCCAGTTTTTGAAACGTTAGAAAGTCTTTACAGGTTAACCCTCATAAATGCAGGACAGGGAACTCTCGTAGTGTGGTCTCTTGGGACCTGCACTGCTAACCCCAAAATAGCATCTGTTTGGCAGTTCAAATCCATCAGCAGCTCCGCGGGGAAAATCTCTTTCTGTACAACTTACAGCCTCCTGAACACCCACCAGAGGGTCAGTTAGGAGTCAGTTCTGATTAGGCAACAATGAGTTTAAGTTTTTGTGAACTGTAGAACTATATGGCATTTAAAATACTCCACACCTTGTGGTTCCATGGCTCAGGAAGAACCATTTTTTAATACTTTGGCATGAATCCTTCTAAACATTTGTCATTGTGCAGTTCTCTTATTTATGCACATTCATGGTATTTTTCAAAGCAGAATGGAACTGTGTTTTACATAGTATGTTGCTGTTTCTTTTCTCTTTTTCCCCCCATATAATTTTTTTCTCCATAATTACTAAATCTGTTTCTTCTTCTTGTGTACTGTCAAGTTGGAGCCAACCGATAGCTGACCCTCCATCAGGTTTTCAGAGGCAGTTTTAATCGCATTGGAGGAAATTGCTTATCTTTTTTCCGTGGAACAACTGATAGATTCTAACTGCATGCCTTTGGGATTGCAGTGCAGCTCCTTAGCACTCGGCCACCACAGCTCCCTATTTCTGTTTCTATTGTAGTTCATATAATCCCTAGTCTCTAACTCAGACTGCTGACACGAGGCTTAGAAGGGAAGAAGAGAGCAGGTGGGCACCGAGGCAGGCTGTCCCGTTATGAGTGGGGCACCTGCTCCTTCTCTGGCCACTTGTCAGGTGGGAAATCAAATCTCCTGATGCCAGATGTCTTCATTTTCCAATCTAAACTAGGCAGTCAGATTATAATGTGAATTCTTCTTATTTTTAGTATTTGTTAAGAATTTAGAATTTCTTGGGACCATTTCCTTTCTCCTCTGTGATCCAACTTGTGACATGTGATATCAATATATCTGTTCTCCCAAGAAGTCTATTTTGAGTAATTGGGAGTGGGTGGTTAGCTTCCTGTTCAGCAAATAAACCTCTGTAAGGGTGAAGTAACTTAACCCTAAATCATTGGATTAGCAATAGAATTTATTGGCTTAATGGATGAATAGAGTGAAGGTAATTTACCTCTTGAAAGAAAGTCAGAAATGTCAAACCCATTATTTCTAGGGTGGTTAGATGTTGGCGTGGAAGGAGGAGAGTCATGTGTACAGTCAGTGTCAGAGCATTTTAATTAGAAATGAAGAATTTGTACATTAGAACAGGCACACCATACATGAATAAAACCTAATAAAAAATAAGATGAAGAGCAGAAGCTCACCTTTCTAAAACCACCTTTTACCATTTATAAGCACCTTGATCTATGTTTTCATTTTTGTATTTTACAGAAATGCTGTAAGCTATAGCGTAGGTATTATTACCCTGTTTTATATATGAGGAAATTAAAGTGTAGTGAGATTAAGTAGCTTACTATCATCATTCATTTAGATGTGGCAGAGCTTATTTCTGAGTATGTGCTTTCCAGCCAGACTGCTTTGTTAACAAACCCTAGAATCTTTTCTCATTTTCTGTTTAAAGTTCAGTAATTCTTAAATTGAAGTACTTAGTGATTATGCAGTTTTCCTGCAAAGTCATTTTTATTTCCACTGTATTTTAACAGATTCTCATGTTGGGTGTGAAGCTGTGACTATGATACTATCTTTGTCCTAAGTTTAACAGTGTTAAGATGTTGTTTGTTGTTGTTATGTGCCATCGAGTTGCCTGCAACTCATAGCAATCCTATGCACAACAGCCCTAACTGAACCTTTCTCTATTCTCTGCCAATTTTATTGTCTCTGACACACCTACCCCCATTACCCCAAGTCACTGAATCAATCCATCTCATAGAGGGTCTTCCTCTTTTGCGCTGTCCCTCCCCCCTCCCAGGCATAACATCCCTCTGCAAGAATAGATCTTCTTTGCAACATGTCCAAAGTATGTCAGACAGAGCTTCAGAATCCTTGCCTCTAAGGTGCTGCCTGGTCTCACCCACTTTAGGACGAACCTATTTATTCCAGCAGCCCATGCTATATTCAGTACTCTTCTCCAGCACCACAGCTCAAAGGCATCAATTTTCCTTCTATCATCCCTAGTCCTTGTCCAGCTTTCTGATGCATAGCAAGTGATTGTGAAGACCATGTCCTGTATCAGGTGCTCCTTCGTTTCCAAACTGACATCATTGTTCTTTAGTACTTGGAGAGGTCTCTGACAGCAGACTTTCCCAATGAAATTTGTCTTTTAATTTCTTGGCTGCTGGTACCAGGCGTGTTGATTGTGGAGTCAAGCAAACTAAAGCTTTTAACAATCTTAATCTCGGGGGAGCTCTGGTGGCCTAGTGGCAAGAAGCTGCACTGCAATCCCAGAGGAACACGGTTCGAATCCACCAGATGCTGTGCCGGAGAAGGAGGCGCAATATCCTCCTGTACCAGTCAGATCTGATTTGACGGTACACGCACACAAAATAATTAAAAAAAAAATCTTAATCTCTTCCCCATCCATCATGATGCTGTCAGTCGGCACAGTGGTAAGAATCTTTGTTACTCAGCCTTTTTCTCTTCTTTGATTAGCAAACGCTTTGGTTCAATTGAAGGTAATCTGTTATCTTTATATATTTAGTAGTTGTAATTGTCAGACTGAAACTTACCTTTTAATTCTGAAATTATAGATAACCGTTTCTGATGAACCAGACACCTTGTATAAGCGCCTGTCAGTTCTGGTCAAAGGCCATGATAAAGCTGTATTAGACAGTTATGAGTATTTTGCTGTGCTTGCTGCTAAAGAACTTGGTCTCTCTATAAAAGTGTAAGTATAACATTTCTTTATCTGACTTGTTAGCTACTAGAACATGGCCCACCAGGAAAATGATGCTGATCCTGATAGGTCTGAGTGCTTCAAGTGGGATAAACGTTCACTCTGGGTGGTATTAGTCATCACTGAAGCAGCTCCGACTCAGAACAACTCTGTTCGGCAGAAGGAAACCAGGCGCACTGCAGCACTCACCTCACAGCCTCTACTGTGCTTTTGCTCACTGTGCCAGCCACTTGCAGGGAGTCCTCACTCCATCATGTGAGAGTTAACATCTTATTAACAGACTTACTTTAATAGGACTAATCCCTTTCTCCAGAGATTGGCCCTTCCTGATAACATGCCCAAACTATTTCAGATGACATTCTGGCCGTACAGCTTCCAAGTTTGTTGCATCGGTAGCCTGTGATGTTGTTGCTGCTTCTATCAAGTTTATTATGATTCATAGTGAGCCTGTGAACAACATAAGGGAGCCTTGCTCTATCCTGAACCTTCCCCGAGTTCTCTGCCGTGCTAGGTCCTCTTGTCACAGTCGCTGTGTCACTCTATCTCATTGAGGGCCCTCCTCTCTTTCTGTCACCCTCCACCTTTCCAAGCACGATGTCTTTTTTTTTCTAAAACTGACCTTTCCAGACAACATGCCCAACGTACGTAAGATGAAGTTTCGCCATCCTTAACTAAAAGGAGCAGCCAGTTACACTTTTTCAAAGACAGATTTATTCTTTTGGCAGTCCGTGGGATTTTTAGTACTCTGCCAACAACACATTTCAAAGGCATGGATTCTTCCTTGATTTCCTTCTTCATTGTCCAACCTCACATGCATTTGAAATGATTGATAGACTTTAGGTTTGTTGTGTATTATTTTTAGCAGGATTAACCCTTCCTATTGACTAGAATGATAGAAGAATGTCTATTTATATTTTATTTACTGGGCAAAGGTATTTGTGTGGATCACAACAATCTGTGGCAAACATTGAGAAGAATGGGAATCCCAGAACTCTTTAATGATGTTCATACAAAACGTAGACTAAGAAGCTGTTGTGTAAACAGCGCAAGGGAACATTGCATGCTTTAAAATCAGGAAGGCTGTGCATCAGGGTTGTATCCTTTCTCTAGATCTCTGCACTCTGTGTGCTGAGCACATCATTTGAGAAGCGGACTCTATGAAGAAGAATGCCATCAAGCTCCGAGGAAAACTCATCAGTAACTTGTTATGCATATTACTTAACCTTGCTTGCTGAAAGTGAAGAGGACATGATGCATTTGTTGTAGATGATCAAAGAAATAAAGCCTTCAATAGGAATTGTTTCTCAACATCAAGAAGACAGAATTTCCTCCCCACTGGACGTTAGGATAAGTAGCATCATGATAGATGAAGAAGAGATTGAAATTGTCAGCGATTCCATTTTACTTGGATCCACAACCAACAACAGCCTTGGTACCAGTGATCAGGGGAGGTATTGCATTGGGCAAGTCTGCAGTGAGAGACCTTTGCAATTGATTGAGGAACAGTGATGTCAGTTAAAGTACTAAGGTGTACGTACTTTAGGCCATGGTCTTTTCCATCACTATGCATCTAATAGCTGAACAGTGAATAAGGATGACAGAAGAAGAATTGATGCCTTTGACTAGCAGTGTTGAAGAAGAGTATTGGATATTCCATGAACTGCCAAAAAAAAGAGATGTGTCTTGGAAAGAGTGCAGCTAGAATGCTCTTTGGAGGCAAGGATAACAAAACTTTCTATCACAAACTTTGGGTGTATTGCCAGAAGAGGCTATTCCTTGGAAAGGACATCATGCTTGGAAAGGTGAGGGTCAGGGGAAAATAAAAATACCCCTAAGCAGATGGATTGACACAGTGACGGCAGCAATGGGCCCAGATATGTCAGAGATGATGAGGATGGCACAGGATAGGAAGGGTCAGATCTGTTGTTCATTGGGTCACGGTGAGTCGAACTTAAGTTAGTGGCACCTGACAACAATATACTAGACTAAGTGAACCAGAAAAACTAAGGCAATCCTTTCTCTGGAGATTGCACTGATATGAGAAACCCTCATGTTAGGGATCTCCATGGAGCAAGGGGATAGATTAATGAATGAACTTTTAGGCTCTTTGGATCTGATGATCTTTTGTGACCCATTCCCACCTAATAATTCCATCTACAAGCAAGGCAGGCTTCACTTGCTGTTTGAGTCATGGTGGGGTCAAGCCTACCTTTGTCTTGTCATCTGTTCTTTGTACTTAACAAGGCCCATTTCTAACTAAAACACAAGGCACATTTTTCCAGAATGCTGACTATAGTTTTATAATTACTGGTGCATCTCTTTTTCTAAAATGAAACATACACAGCAGACATTGCTCGGGGTCTGACCCACTGATGCCATTCAGTGAGTGTGAAAGCAGCAGCTGTGTGTGTGCTCCTGAGTCCTCACATGCCAGCTCAGTGTACCCATCTGGGCCTGTGGAAGAGTGTTCTGTTGCTGTCTGTGGTGTTTATTTTGGTCTGAACTTGATGACAGCAGTTGTTAACAGATGACAGTAGTGGCAAATGGGAGTCTGTAAACTGTAGTTAATAACTGTAATTGACCTACAAAATTGTTGAATCATGCTTTCATTACAGTGACTCAAGTTTTAACATCACTTCGCTGATTTGTATATTGTTTTGCTCATTCATTTCCAGGCATGAACCTCCAAGGAAAATAGAACGATTGACTCTTCTCAAATCAGTTCATATCTTTAAGAAGCACAGAGTTCAGTATGAAATGAGAACTCTTTATCGATGTCTAGAGGTATGTTCATTTTAGATAGAAAATGCAATCTTAGCATTTTTCAAATGCCCCAAACTTCACATTAGCATATTATAACTTTCCTTTCATTGACCAGATTGACTTCCTTTTCAGTCAGCCCAGTTACTATTCATTGTAGAAAAGAGAAATGTCTGTTTTGTTCTTACAGAAGTGGCTGGCTAGGAAAGTCAGACTGAAACAAAGCCATATTGTAACTCAGTAATACAGAGTGTCACTAATAGACACATTTGTATACTACTTGAAAGCCCTGGAATAATTTGGCTTTTATTTCAAAAATTCTAATTGGTCTACCCAATTCTAATCATTCTTTCTATGTACTAACTGCAGTTTCGCTGTTGGCGATCGCAGCACTGAGGGTTTTCATTCATCTTTTTATCCATGTAGTCTTCTGGTTAAGGATAGCATGGCCCTAAAAGCCATATTCCCGGAGTCCACACCCAGACACAGGCCCATCTCAGAGCTACTGCGGGTGTGTGGTTCTTGATCACCACAATAAAGTGGATGTCACAGTAAATTAAGTCACATGAATTTTTTGTTTGCTTCTCAGTGCATGTGAAAGCTTATGTTTACCCTACATGATAGTGTATTAAATATGCGGTGTTGCTGTATACCATAGAGTCAGAACCAACCCATAGCTAACCCTTTCGTGGGTTTTCAGAGGCAGTAAATCACACTGGTGGAGAGTGCCCATCTTTCTCCCGAGAGTATGCACTAACACTGTGAAAAAAGATTAAAATACTGCAAAAGTTGGCAGAACATGAGTGAGCAAGTGCTACTGGAAAAATTATACCGATAGATTTGCTCACTCCAGGCTTGCCACAAGCCTTCAGTTTTTTACAAGATATATTCAGGGTACAAAAAAAATGAGGTATGCCCGTACTCAGTAGCCATGTGACCAATATCTCAATTCCTTCATCTATAAAATGAGAATGATAATAAGAATAGTATCTAACGCATAAGGTTAGTGTAAGGATTAAGTGAGTTATTTATCTAGAGCACTTAGAATACGTCCATTTCATAGTAAAAGAAAATGTTTTTGTTTTTTTTTTGTTTTTTTGAAAGAAAATGTTTTGACAGCAAACGTGTATACATCTTTTATATGGGAAGCAACCTACCAGAATTTGAGAGTGCAGAAGCAGGAGTGGCATTCACTTCCTAAACAACATGTCTCCGGAAACTCTATGAACTTTGATAAATGTCGACAGTTATAGAAAGGCTTCAGGCCTTTCGTTTGTAGGATCGCTATGAGTTGTGCTTGACTCAACAGCAATCAACAACAACTATATATACATTGAAGATATAGGCCCTACTCTTAAAGAGAAAAACCTGAAACTGTGTTCACCCATGTGAGACAGAATGTGTCCTCCTGGAGCAGAGTCTTGTACTGGCTGCATCTGCTGGTTCAGTCCTTTTGTCTCTTTTGCTTAGAGTTGTTTTCTGGAGCACTTGTCTAGGTTGTGCTGACCCCATGCTTGCCAGCTCTCTCCCGTGAAGCACTCTGTGAAGCAGCTGCAGGTGGAAGGAAAGGAGATATGGGACCCAGCTCTCACAGTCATTTCAATCTCAAGAGCTGCACTGTTTTTTGGTTTTGTTTTGTTTGGTTTGGTTTTTTTTCAGTTGTTGATTCTTTGTAAGATTTGTTAGATAAAGTAAAGGTAAGGCTTCACTATTTTTACAAAGAAGACACACTCATGCTTAAAAATATTTGCATTAGAAAAATCATTCAGTGTTTCTTCAGAATGTAAACCATCTGGCCTCCTAAATTTATACACAAATAATTGAAAACATATATTCAAACAAAAATTTGAACACAACAATGCTATTCAAAACAGAAAGAACCTAAATGTCCAGTAAGTGGTGAATGGATATACCAAAAAACACCCCTATAGTCTCATTACTGCCCTTCATAGCTGACCTTCCTGTGAGTTTCAAAGGCTGTAAATGACACAAGAAGACACCGCCATTTTTCTCTCAAGGACCAGTTTGTGAGGTTGAACCTTCAGAGAGGCATGACTTCTGGGTTAGCTGCGTAACTCTGTGGACCATGACATTCATAAAAAAGAAATGAAGTTTTGATAGAGGCTTAACATAAATGAACCTCAAAAATATGCTCAGTGAAAGAAGCCTTTATGGATTGTCTGATCCATTTGTCTAAGTATCCATCATGAATGAATGCATAGATTAGTGGCTACTGGGGGCTTGGGGAAGGGGGAGTGAGGAGCAACTATTTACTCACTGGTGTTTCTTTGAGAATGATGAAAATGTTCTGGGACTCAACTAGTAGGATTGATTGTACAACACTGAATGTACCAAATATCACCAACTTGTACAATTCAAAATGGTTAATTCTGTATTGATGGAATTTTACCTCAAAAGATAGCTCTACTTTCACAGTGATGTTATTGTTGTGTGCCATTGAGTCAGAACCAACCCATAGCTGACCCTCTAGCAAGTTTTCAGAGGTAAATTGGGAGGAGATTGCATAGCCCATCATTTTTCTGCTGAGCGTCTGGTGGATTTGAACCACTTAACTTTGTCTCAGCAGCACAGTTTCTTAGCACTAAGCTACCAGACTTGTGTAATTCAAAATGTTTAATTCTCTACTAAAGGAATTTTACCTCAAAAGATATTTCTGACATTGTAGCCTGATCAGTTTAACATACGCTGTTTTAGCTAGAGCATCTGACTGGAAGTACAGCAGACGTCTACTTGGAATATATTCAGCGAAACTTACCTGAAGGGGTTGCCATGGAAGTCACAAAGGTATGCATTGAATTTCTGCTTACCCTGGAGGGAAGCATCTGTAACTGTCCTTTTAATGTGGTGAAGCTTTAGTTCTAGATCACTGAGTGGAGGGAGCCCTGAGCTCAACTGGGTCGGAGAGCGCTTGCCTAGTTGTTGGGGGTCTTCCCTCCTCTACAATACTGTCATCTCAGCAGAACCCACCACTTCCAGCCCTAGTCCTCCTGAGCCTGCTCCGATGTTTCCCTTTTCAAAGTAGTTGTCTAGTTATGGAGACCATGTTAAATAGCAGTCCTTGCAAGTCACAGAGGATTATGCATGTAAATGTACTTTATAAAGCATCATATTTCCTTCTTTATTTAAAAACCCTGCAAAATGAGAAGGGAATGAAAAAGAAGTCAAGAGGAGTTAGGGAAAAAGAATTCCCAAGTCTAACCTGCGGCCAAAGAGTGAGTTCACTTAAGTCTTCATGAGTTTAGTTTTTTTGTGTATTTTTCTTTTGTTTACTTGTTTTTCAGACAAGATTAGAACGGTTACCAGAACACATCAAGGAGCCAATCTGGGAAACAGCACCAGCAGAAAAAGAAGAGAGCAAGTCATAAAGCCATAGCAAGACCTTGTGTGCCTGGCTTTGCAGTGAGGATGGGCAGATGGATGTGCTTGAATGGTGACGGCTGCCAGCTGATAGGATTTTGCATCACCTCAGAGGCCAGATACTCTGATCAGTGGGAAACAGGAAGTGTGACTTTCATGATAGATTGGACTAGAGCAGAGTGGCCTTCTTATCTGAATTTATTTCACACATGCCATTATTTCAGATCTTATTTTAACAAATGTGAGCAACACATTTTGACTATATTTTTTAAATTTTTTTTATTTTATACTGATTTATTTACAGAGTTTGAATACATTGTTTTTCACACTGGATCCTTCCCGTTTCCTTCATCCTACCCACCTATCAAATTGTGGGACCCTATGCTTAACCCCACCCCCACCCCCCGCCTATCCTCACTCTTCTGCTTCCACTTCCCCCCGACCCGGATCCTCATACTCATTCTTCAATAATGGCTTTATACAGGGTTGGTCTTATGAGATTGAGTGAGTTCACTCAGCCTAATGCTCTCCAGTCCCTCTCAAGTTAGGTAGTAATTTACAAAATCATTGTTCCTGTGTGCTGCATAATAATCCAGTGTATGAATGTACCATAATTTCTCTGTCTATTCAGTTGTGGTTGGACATCTGGGCTGTTTCCATGTTCTTACTATGGTGAATAACAGTGGTATGAAAATTGGTGTACAAGTCTCCATTTGAGCCTCATTTTTCATTTTCTCAGGGTATATTCCAAGAAGTGGAATAGCTTGGTCATATACCGTCTCGGACAAGATTCTCGTGAAAGTTTACAGAATATTCCTGGGCCTCCAGAAGAAAAAGACTCATAACCCAATTATAAAATGGGCAAAAGACATGGAAAGAATTTTCACAGAGAAAGGTAATTTGAAGGGCCAACAGACACATGAAGAAATGCTCAGAATCACTGGAAGTATGAGATGCAAATCAAAACCACAATGAGATACCATCTCACTAACAGTAGCAAAGTTTAATAGGACAGCAAGTAATAAATGTTGGAGAGGATGTGGTGCAGTAGGAACTCTTATACACAGTGGGTGGGAGTGTAAAATGGTACAACCACTCTGGAAGGCAGTTTCGTGTTTCCTCAAAAAGCTGAACATAGAAATTCCGTATGACCCAGCTATTCCAACCCATATGAGTATTGTAAGCTCAGGCTATAGTCTTAGCAATTACGTGCTATGTATAGGAGAGTTGGACAGTGACTAGGGATGATAGAGAATTGCTGCCTTTGAGGTGTGGTGCTGGAGAAGAGTGTTGAATGTACCATGGACTGC